GGCCCGTGGGGGGGGGGGGGGGGGTGGGGGGCCCCCCCTGGCACACACAGAGGAGGGGCCCTCAGGGGGGTGGGGGGCCTTCCCCTGGCACGAAAAGAGTAGGGGAGAAAGGGAGGGTGGGGGCCCGGCCCCTGGCACACACAGAGGTGCAGGGGGGTCAGGGGGGTTGGGGGCTGGCCCCTGTCACGCTGATCCCGGGGGTGGGAGGGATATTAACCTTTTTATATATAGGAAAAAAGCCTGGGGGATGGGTGGGAACCGGCTGGTTTGCCCTGAAGGGGGTCCTGGAAGAGGGTGGGGGTCCCCACTGGGGTGCCTGGCAGCCTGGATGAGGGGATGATGGCTGTTTGCAGCTGGTCACACACCCTTCAGGGTGGGGGTCCCCACTGGGATGCCTGGCCAGTCTGGGTGAGGGGCTGAGGGCTGCTTTCAGGCTGGCGGTTGTTAACTGAAGCTCCCAACCACTCCTTTTTTTTTCTCTTTTTTTATTTTATTCTGGGCCAGCTTTAGCTCTGGCTCTAGCTCTGAGGCTTCGTATCTGGTTTGTTTGCCATTCTATAATCGAAACAATGTATAACTTCAGCTCTGAGATCCGGCAGGCTGAAAGCTGTTTTCTGGGGTTTTGTTTAGCTTCTTATTTGCAACATAGTACATAGTTGCTTAGAGTTGCAACTCAGAGGCCGGCAAGTCAGGCAGGAACGTTGGAGTCTGCAGTCACTGGAGCAAGCAAGCCTCATGTTCGCTTCCAGCTGCCTGGCTGCCGGCCGCCATCTTGGCTGCCAGTTAATTTGCATAAGGATATGCTGATTAGCCAATGGGAAGGGTAGCGGTCGTACGCTAATTACCATGTTTCTCTTTTATTAGTGTAGACTAGAGGCCGGTGCACGAAATTGGTTCACTCGGTGGGGAGGGGTCCCTCAGCCTGGCCTGCGCCTTCTCACAGTCCTGGAGCCCCGTGGTCAGTTGCCTCAAAGAGGTAGGCCCTGCCAACCTGTCCGGGGCTCTGTGATGGATCGCCCCCGCAGAGGGAGGCCCCGCCCACCCACCGCAGCCCGCCAGTCGGTGGCCTGGGCTTCCCTCTGCGGGGCGGTCACAGAGCCCCCAGATTGATTGCCCTGCTGGCCAGTGGCCTGGGCCTCCCTCTGTGGGGCGATTGTGGGGCAATGGCTGGGCCCCCAGACCAATCCCATCACACCTGCCTTGGCTGGCCTGGCACCATTGGGAGTCATAGCTTGGTCATCTGGATGGTCATTCTGCTGTTCAGCCATTCAGTCAATTTGCATATTACACTTTTATTATATATATAATATTGCTACTTTTAACTTTAATTTTTTATAGAATATTTCCCTTTTTTCTCCCTTCAATAACCTTTCAGTTGTTACATTTTCTCCCATTTTCATACTCATTATGTCAAATTTTTTTTTTTTGCTGCCAATCTATTTTATGTACAAAGGGATTTTATTTTTAGTTTTTAATTCTATTTCATCCACTTTAAAAAATTTATTGATTTCAGAGAGAGGAAAAGAGAGGGAGAAAGAGATAGAAACATAAATTATGAGAATCATTGATCAGCTGCCTCCCACACGGCCCCTACTGGGGATGGAGCCCACAACCCAGGCATATGTCCTGACTGGGAATCGAACCATGACCTCTTGGTTCATGGCTCAACCACTGAGCCACACACAGGCAGGCCGTACTCCACTTTTTATCATAAGTTGATAAGCATTACATCTTGGCAAAAATGTTTTCAATTCTTTTTTCCTTTCTCAGGCCCTTTTGGAAAATTCTTTATAATATCCGCATAACACAAACACAAAAGCAAAAGTCTGATACATTAAAAATGTTGTCATGGTTACATAATGATCTGTATGTAGACTACTCAATATTTACAGTCACAATTCTATAGTGTTTTGTCTCTCTTTTAAAAAAAAATATATTTTATTGATTTTTTACAGAGAGGAAGGGAGAGGGATAGAGAGTTATAAACATCAATGAGAGAGAAACGTTGATCAGCTGCCTCCTGCACACCCCCTACTGGGGATGTGCCCGCAACCAAGGTACATGCCCTTGACTGGAATTGAACCTGGGACCTTTCAGTTTGCAGGCCGGCGCTCTATCCACTGAGCCAAACCAGTGAGGGCGTGTTTTGTCTCTTTTAGTCCATCCAGGTCATATTGGCAATTCCTTTCAAGATAGAAAGCAATGTTATATATGTTCTTCCTTACCGGATTTCTTTGCAAGCAATGAGAAAATAATTTTCATCTTTTCCATATAAGCATCGTTTTATAATTGCTTATACATTTTCATATAATTTTATATATTTCACCCGTTACATAGTCTTATCTTCCTATACCTTTACTCTTCTCATTTCACTGAGATTATAAACTACATTGTTTGGTCTCTTATCATAAATAGGTTCCATATGCAGTGAAAGAATTGTAAACTCCCTTTAGTGCCAAAATATAATATCAGTATTTTTTTCTACTCATAGCTCTAGGATAAAAGTTGTGTTGGGATAGGTATTAGGTTCTGATAAGAGATTATTTTATCCATTCTGAATCTATGAGGATAAAACAAGAAATGTTGAAAAGAACTCTTCCGTAAATCACATAGGAAATACATCTCATTTTCATGTGCATAACCATATTGCTTTCCTTCTGGTTCTGTGTTCCACTAGGTTTGTGGTAGAGGATATTTAATACCAAGACACAAAGAATCAAATTCTGATGTGAAAGGTAATGTTCTGCTTCTACCATCTCATAAATAATTAATTCACTTAACAAACACTGTATTTGTGCCACAGTTTTGAGGTTTCCACTGTGCTTGGTGCTTAGAGATATCGAAAAGTATACTCTACCATTTCTTCCTCTCAGGAGCTCATTTTTATAGGGGGAGACAAACAAGTTCAGTTCTGCTTGTTTTGTAACCTGTTTTTATTTAAAATTGCAGTATATCATTAACTTTGACCTTATAACTTCCTGTCTGTGTATAGTATCAATTATTTATTTACAATAGATTCTTAGAAAGGAATTGCTGCCCCAAGGTATGAATATTTTTTAAAGTTCTGCTCTAAATAGCAAAAATGCAACCAAAAAATCGTAAGATTTGACAACTGTGTTAATTTAACTGAACTAAACTATTGACATATTATCTGCTAACATTTTTATGTAGAAAAAGATAAAAATATGAAATGTAAAAGAGTCAATGAATTGTTTTCATGCTACTAATGATCTTTTTACCATCTAGATGCAAGGCCAAATGTATCAGATGATCGTATATTTGATTATTTCAGAAGACCGTCTCCTAATCAAGGTTTGGGTGAGTAAAGTGAGAGTAGTATAACAAGTAACGAGTTAATAATTTATGTTTGATAAAGATCTATTTATAAGCAATTAGAAAAGTATCTTCATATTGGATAGACAAGGAATAATTCACCTTCCCAGAAATTTTGAATCTCAAATCTTTTCTTTATAGCTCTAGAAATATATAGAAGTCAGTAGATATTTATTATATGTCAGTTTGCTTTCTTGTAATCTTACCCAGTCAAAAAAAAAAAAAAAAAAGAAAGTATTACATCTGATCATCTAATTTTTTTCATTATCATCTCACTGAATCTTAAAGCAGAAAGAAACCTTGAGAGTAGTCTTACCTTCTACTAATTACAGGATCCAGGCTCGTGCAACCTTTGATAGACTAATTTTAGTGACAGGTAGTTTACCAAATTAAAATAGAGTCCATTCCATTGCTAGAGAGCAGTAGCATTGAGAAAACATTCTTCACATGTTGAATTAAAAAGCATGTCCCACCCTAACCAGTTTGGCTCAGTGGATAGAGCGTCAGCCCGGGGACTGAAGGGTCCTGGGTTCGATTCCAGTCAAGAGCAAGTACAGGCGCAATCCCTGGCCCTGGATGGGGCACATGGAGGAGGTAACCAATCGATGTGTGTCTGTCTCTCCCCCTCCCTTCCACACTCTCTAAAAATCAATGGAAAAATATCCCCGGGTGAGGATTAACAACAACAACAAAAAACATGTGTCCCTGTATATTTCATCCACCTCTTTAATAACACAAAATATTGACTAAAGGAATCTTTAAAGGTAAACATTTCTGACTTGACTCATTTTCCCTGATTCTCCTTGAAATAATGAGATGTAATGCCTCTTCCACATGATAGATCATAAATATTTTTAAAAGCTATTATTTATTTCCCTGTAACTTTTCTTTCATTGTTTTACAACCATCCATATTATGAGAGGCCCAATTCAAATCCCTCTACCATCTCGTTTTATTCTTTTCTATCACTATTCAAGCGTAAATGAAGCTAAACACAGTATTGCGAATGTCATCTAATGAGTATACTAGGTGGGGCAAAAGCACATTTACAGTTGTGAGTATCCAAAACACATTTATTCTTGTATTACTATCTATTAATTATTGTATTATTTTTCATATGAACAACTGTAAACCTACTTTTTCCCCACCCTGTACAATAAATCATCATTTTCATTTGCTTCTTTGTATGAGATGAGATTTGTATGAGTGCTAAGATTGCATTTGTTCTTTGAATACCTCCATACTGGATTTACATATACTCACACCTATCAAATATTATTTTCAAAGTGTGACAGCTAATTTATGTCTCCTTCATTCTCTTTTACTTCAGTTTTGGTTTGATATTTTGGTCCAGTGTACTGGTTCTTAAATTTATTCCTGCTAAACTAAGTCTTCTTAGATTCAGCCTTTCATGATCTTGATTTTTATTATGTCATATTATTGTACTATATACATATGTGTATACATATATATTTATGTGTATATATACACATGTGTATGCATGCATCTCTATACTATCTCCATAACCACTCGAACTAAACCCTCATAGCTATCTTTTTTCCTCATTTTGCTTCCATCCCTCGTATCCAGTTAGCCACTGAATCTACCTGAATTTATCCCATAATCCCTTTTTCTCAATCTCCACTCCCTCATTCTTTTTTTTTAATATGTATTTTTATTGATTTCAGAGAGGATGGGAGAGGAAGAGATAGAAACATCAATGATGTGAGAGAATCATTGATCAGCTGCCTCCTGCACGCCCCGCACTGGGGATTGAGCCTGCAAGCTGGGCATGTGCCCTGACCAGCTCATAGGTCGATGTGCCACTGAGACACGCCAGCCAGGCTCCACTACCCTCATTCTTTTCAGACTCGTATGACCTATTTCCCAGGAGTGCTACAGATTTCTAATATTGTCATCTGAATTGCACCTTTCACGGGACCATAATAGCCACCTCTTAATAACACAAATCTGCTTATGTAAACCACCTACCTAAAGCCTTTCAGTAGTTCCCAATTTTCTAACACTGATTGAAGTTGACACAGCCCTAAGACTTAAATATTTTTTAAGCTTTCTCTTTTAAATATTTTAAACTTTTACTTTTTAAATAATTTAGTACAAAGACCTATATTCCCTACCTATTCAACTTCGATACAATTTTCTATCATCCTATAGTCAAATTTTGCCAAATGCACCAACAATGTCTTTTAGAGCAAAACTTCTCTGATTCAAGATCATAACTTGCATTTACTTGCCATATCCCTTTGTTCTCTTCTCATTTGGAATAGCTGCTTGAACTTTATTATTCACAGCACTGGCCTGTTTGAAGATTATGAGCCAGTTGTCTTGTAGAATGTCTAGTTTTAAAATTTTAGAGTACACCACAGTTACCTGAGGAGCTTACGAAAACATCAGCTTCTTATTCAGAGTTGGTCTTTGTTGTCAACCTCAGATCATTCTGGGGTTGGTGAGTCATCTGCAGACACACTTTGCAACTCACCACTTTGGGAGTTACAGTGAGAGTTGGTGGGACACAGCCCATCCAACCCTCATTCATCCTGAGTAGCTTTCTTGTACAAGTTTCCTTTCAATAATGTTCTGTTACTTAAACAAAACCGAGAAAAATTTTTGACAGACCATTAGCTGCAACATAGAAACCAAGTTTTCGAATGTGACATAATGAATTCCAATGAACTGGCCCCTGACTACCTCTCTAGTTTTATCTCTTGTGATTCTCTGCTTTCACTTAACACCTTAGCAAAGATGATCTTCCTGTAGTTTCAAAATACATGCGTCTCCTCACCTCCTTGCCTTTGCTCATGCTGTCTTCTCTGCCTGAAATGTACCTCACTGTCTCTTCAACCAGAGTAGCTACTCATTTAAGGAGTAGGTATCAAAGTTTACTAAGACTCATATGCAGTTCATTACAGGGAGAGTGAGATGGACTGAGTGATAGTGAATTGCACACACACTGCTCTGGTTGTTCAGAGGGGGTCCTGATCCAGCCTGGAAACCTCAGGTAATGTTTTCTTGAAGAAATTGATCCTTAAATTATAATGAGTCTTAACTGACAAGATAGGCATTTAACAGGGGAGAAAAGAATCACTTCCTTGAATTCTTAAAAGATTGTTGTCAATAGTTTTGTGATCTTATATGCAAACTAGAGGCCCAGTGCACAAAATTTGTGCACGGGGGGGGGGGGGGGGGGGCCCCCAGCCCAGGCTGGGCCCCCTTGGAGGCCGGGAGCCCCCGGGGGAAGTCTGAATGAAGGGTTAAGCCCCCCCCCCCGGAGGGCTAAGCTGGGAGGCGAAAATCCTTAGGGCTGCCCCAAAGGGGGGAGAGGGTCCCCACTGAGCGGGGGCCCCCCTGTGGGACCACACTGACCACCAGGGGGCAGCTTTTGCTTTGAGCATCTGCCCCCTGGTGGCCAGTGTGCAACATAGCAATCAGTCGTTCCATTGTTCAGTCAATTTGCATATTAGCCTTTTATTATATAGGATTCTTTTCTTACTTGGCATGCAGTGTGCCTGGGACTAGAGGTAACTCATTCAGAGCCCTTTGACTTCGGTCATCTCTTGCCAATATTTATTCTACTCAGAAGAAAACTTTTTGATAGAAAAAATAGAAACAGTTTAAGAGCTGAGGGATTCTGCTCTTTGTTATCCATTCACATTTTAAAATAATTCCAGCAGGACAAATCTAAAACATTCTTTGGTATATTTTCATTCTGAAAACAGCTAAGTAAAATTTATTTCTTGTTTTCAATATTTCTTCATATCTTAGTTCATTTGATATTTTAACCTTCCTGACACTATTCTTCTATGTCTAAGCCATTCTCTTATATTTAGTTTTTGTTACATAATCTCCTTTCATCTCTGTTCATGTTCTTCTAAAAACCACACAAATAGAAGATGTGTGTTTATCTGCTTCCCAGAGGTCTCATGTCATACTATGCAAAGATTGTGCTAGATACTGGGGTACAATGAGAAATAAAATATAGTCTGTTCTCAAGAAGCAGAGAGAATGAAAACAAGTAAACATAAAAAAATTAGATAAATGCAACTTACTGTGCTATGGGATTATGTAGGAGTTGTTTGAGGATAGGGGAGAATCAGAGGAGGTTTCTCAAAAAGTTAATTGTTAAGATTTACAGGGGCTTAATAAATGGCATGTTTCTTTACTATGTTCTGAATCACTAATAATTAAAAGAGTAAGACAAACAAAATACTAGCAAACTAAATCTAACAACATATAAAAAGATTATGCACAATGGACAAGTAGTACTTATTCCAGAAATGAAAGGTTAGTTTAACATTTGAAAATTAAACAATGTAATGTGGTAGTCAGGGTCAACCACAGTCCTAAAATATTAAATGTAAATTCCAGAAATAAACCCTTCATAAGTTTTAAATCCCACGCTGTTCTGAGTTGTGTGATGAAATCTGGCACCGTCCCGCTCCATCACACCTGGAATGTGAATTACCCTTTGTCCAACGTCCCCCTGCTGTACATGTTCCCCACACATTAGTCACTTAGTAGCCACCTTCGTTATCAGATCAACTCTGTGGTATTGCAGTGCTAGTGTTCAATCACCTTATTTTACTTAATAATCACCCCAAAGTGCACGAGTAGTGGTGCTGACTATTTGAATGCCAAAGAGAAGACATAAAGTATTTTCTTTAAGTGAAAAGGTGAGTACAGTACAATTAGATATTTTGAGAGAGAAAGAGACCATATTCACATACTGATTACAATACATTCTTATAATTCTTTTTTATTAATAGTTGTTCATCTCTTACTGTGCCTAATTTATAAATTAAACTTTATCATGGGTATGTATGTATAGGGAAAAACATTATAGCCCTAGCTGGTTTGGCTCAATGGACCTAAGAATCCCAGGTTCTATTCCAGCCAAGGGCATGGACCTTGGTCCGGGCCATGCAAGAGGCAACCAATCTATGTGTTTCTCTCACATTGATGTTTCTCTCTGTCTTTCCCTCTCTCTTGCACTATCTCTAAAAGATTAATGGAAAAATATCCTCGGGTGAGGATTAAACATATAAACAAACAATATATATATGGGGTTCGGTACTATCTGCAGTTTCAGGCATCCACTGGGTGTCTGGGAACATACCCCCATGGATAAGAGGGTATTGACTACTCTATGCTGTTTCTCTAAAACTGATAATCTCTGAAGAGTTCATAAAGAGTATAGAAAAGGATGGACTAACTGCACCTGGGTTGTTTGACATTATGTGTTGATTATGACTAAAACTCATACAGTAAAAAAAATTACATTTGGAGGTAAATAAGACTGACTCAGCCCAGCCAGGTGTGACTCAGCAGCTGAGCCCAGGAACCAAGAGGTCACCAGTTTGATTCCCAGTCAGGGTATATGCCCAGGTTCCGGGCTCGATCCCCAGTGTGGGGCATGCAGGAGGTAGCCAATCAATGATTCTCTTTCATAATTGATGTTTCTATCTCTCCCTCTCACTTCCTCTCTGAAATCAATAAAAATAATATTTTTAAAAATAAAGTAAAAGGTCTTATATTTAAGTCTTAAGATAACAGCATAATATGGCTTATAAATTTAAATATTTAGTACAGAGTTAACATCTGTATCAAAGGAGACAAAAATATATTATTATACTATTTTCATGCACACTATTTGTTTAATTTGTTCTATTAATCGCTATAATTACCACTGTTAACTAGCCCTATTGTTTTGTTTAAAAGTGTTTAGAAGCATTAAACCAAATAATAGTTTAAATAAAAGCATATTTTATATTTTATGTTATAATCATAATAGATGTGTATATGATGATTTATTACATATTTTACTGTTTTTTTGGTCTGGTATGGCTGTGTCCTAGGTTGGCTCTCTAAAAAGTTAGTTACCCTACTACACATGTAGATGTCCTTCTTAGATCCTAACATTCACAGATTCAGTTCTCAATTTTTGACAGTTATTGGATAGATATTTCTACTGTTTGCTATTCTGTTGAAACACTTTAATTAAAAGGCTTCCAAGTGAAATATGTACTACTAACTTATTTCATATTTCTGAATGAGACAATAGCAGATTAATTGAAGATAAGCTCAATTAAGTTAGCTGTTAAATATATGAATAAGATAATTGGCAAGAAAGTAAATTATTAAGTTTTGTTAATCTGAAAAATCTGAGTTCATAAATCTTACAGTATATTTTCTTTTTTAGTGAAAATGCCTGGACAGGCCCCTTCCTGGCTTCTAAAAGGATATTTGAGGTAGCAGAATTATTACCTTACTCCTTCCTTTTCCTCTGTTTTATAAAGATTTTGAAGTAAAGCAATAGGTAAAAGTCACTTTTTGATAACAATTGCTAATCAGATGTCTCCTTATAACTACACTAGTGGCCCAGTACATGGATTCATGCACATTGAAAGGAAATTAATTAGAATATATTTTAATATCGTTATTCGTCCTTTCTCTATAATAGAAGTGTCAACCAAATTCACGATCAACAGTGACAGATCGAAACACACATGTGCGATGGCACCAGCAAGAGCTTTATATGTATCGCACATGCACTAGTCAACTTAGCCTTTTATATATAGAGAATAAACTTGCTTAATTAGACCCGCTTTCTGATTTAGCTAAACTTTTTCCAGCTCAGTGAAGCATCCACTTCTCTTTCAGGCAATTGTCAGCAACACAGCAGTAAATATCAACATGAAGCAGATTATTATTGTAGATCACGCAGGGAGAACAAAGGGTAAAATATTTAATGGCAGCAGTGTTTGACTATATTCTGCGCAGTGAGAAAGAAGTCGTTTTCAAGGTCCACCATTTCTTACTGCTTTTCAATCGGGTCAAGTTTCTAAGCTTTCTAAATCTCCGTTTTCCGGCTAATGAAAAGAAAATGGGATTCTACCAAGTCTCCTATCTACCTACTCCAGGACTTCTGTGAGGATCAAATGAGATGAGGCACAGGAAAACGCTTCACAAACATTTGGTTAAAGTGTAAAATGTTTCCACCTGGCTATAAAGCAAGTCGTGTTCCTGGGCTGAAGAAACTCCAAGGAGGCTAGTCGCTAGGGAGAGGAAGCCAGGCGCTGCTACGTGACGCCATTACCCGGCGCCAGCGACCATTTCCAGGCTGGGCTGGGCTGTGGGCTGCATTTAGTGCCATGGGGTCTTGGCAGCGTTGGCTGTGATTTGGTGGGGTGTCGCTCTGGGGTGGTGGCGGGGCCTGTGTCCCACTTGGAGGAAGCCAAGTGTTGCTTTGTGGGTGCCAGGTCCGCAGTGCTGTTCCTTTGTAAATGGCCAGTGCATGTCACGGCAGCTCCTGCGTTGAGCGTCTGCCCCCTGGTGGTCAGTACACATCATAGCAACTGGTCAGATGGACAATTAGCGTATTAACCTTTTATATATATAGATAGTATCTGTGACTAGGCCAGTTTATGGAATGCCCATATGATGCATTTTTTTTAAGGGTTCTGAGATTTCAATATCCCCAAACTATCCTCGGTGGATGCCTTAAAATCTACACTTAGACATTTATTTCTATGCATCTGTCATCACATTATCTGAGTTTCTCTTTTTAAAAAGAAATATTTCTGGCATAAGGTAATTACTTTAGAATGAATAACTCATTCATTTACTATCTGTACTAGCCATTGGAGCACTGGTCACGTAGGGATACTACTACTACTACTACTACCACCTAAAAACTGAAAAAGGAATGACAGAAAGAGAAATCAGGGATAACAGAGATAAACTTAGTAGTTGTGTCCAAACCAGTAATTATAGCATTAGCTCCCTTGGCAAGTTTCCTGATTCTTAGGCAGCGGTTCTCAATCTGTGGGTAGCGACCCCTTTGGTGGTCGAACAACCCTTTCACAGGGGTTGCCTAAGACCATCCTGCATATCATATATTTACATTACAATTCATAACAGTAGCAACATTACAGTTATGAAGTAGCAATGAAAATAATTTTATGGTTGGGTCACAACATGAGGAACTGTATTTAAAGGGCCAGAAGGTTGAGACCCACTGAATCTTAGGAATCTTAGGAATATGAACAACCATCTGGACGGGTAAGTATTTGAGAACAGACTGCCAAATACAAGAAAGGCACATGGTATGCCCTTTCTTCCTTTCTTGGCCTCTCTTCTAAGAACTTGGTTTCTTTTTTTAAAAAGAAAAACTGGGTTCTGTTGAAATATTTAGTCTCCTACCCCAAAAATGTAAAAAATCAGGTAAGAAACCATCTTGGGCATACCTGTACTTTGATCTAGAATTGATGGATTTAAACTAAGACATAAATTTTTTAAATATATTATTTCTCATATCTATGGAAAGAAATTCAATTATATATCAAGAGAAGAGAAAGTAATAGAAAAAGTACTGAAGTGAGATGTGAATTCTAGACCTGCCCCTCCCTCAAACTGGCCATGTAATCTTAAAACAAGTCGCTTAATCTCTGGAATTCCTGACATTCTTTTACAGTCCCTCTCCCACGTAAAGTGGAAGATAAAACAGACCATCCTACCCCCAGGATGAGAGCCCCCATGGGATAACATCTGTAAGAATACTTTACATACTGTATGTACATTGTAATATACAAATACAAGAAGGATGACATTCCTCTTGATTAGATGGTTCACTATTGACATTGAAATCAGAGTTCCCAATTTCTTTCAGCTCCCAAAATATGATGCAGAGGCATAGCAAATACCAACAAAGACACTTTTCGGAAACCGGTAAGAGACCAATCCAGGAAGCAATTCAGCCCAGGAGCACTGGTTTGTATAGAAACTGCTTCAGAGTGACATCCTTGAATTGTACTGTGAGCAAGCCAACTCCCAGTTGGACAGAGAGGCCAAGGATACCAACAGAAGGTCTTTTTATTTTTATTTTTAGGATTTTAATAAATACAAGTATAGCTTTCACTGTATCATCATTAATAAATCCTATGAAATTGGGATTTAGGGGAACTGCTTTTGTAAACAGGGATGATTAATAGCCATTTTATTCCTGTCTCTGAAAAATATTTGCCTTATTTAATTTCTATAGGAGTTGAGTACAGAAGAAAATCATTTCAGTTTAATATAGCCTTGAAAAAGAGATCTATTTAATTGACTTATTCCCCATATCCTTGAGGATTTTTTTTATTATTACTGCTTTAATTTTATTAGTTATAGCAACACCTCCTTGTTATTGATGCCTTTCAGTATATAGAATAAAAAAAGCAATGAACTGCTGGTACAGCATGGGTGATTCTCAGAATCATTGTGCTAAGTGACAGAGGCAGACATAGAAAAGTAAATATTACATGATGTGTACTCATTCATCAAAACAGATTAATTAGGAAGCTTTCCTTATCCATCCCTAAGTATGATTCAAAGTCCCTCTTCTGGAATCCTGTGTTATATACCCTGCCTTATCTCTATAGAAAGATATTCTGACTGACGCTTTACTTTTCTCTCTCTAGTCCTGTTAGCATATTAAAGACACGGACTATATTTTTCATTCCTATTTACCAAATCAAACATAATGTCAGATTCAGGATAAGCATTCAGTGAATGGCCAAGGAATGACTTTTCAAGAAACTGTCGATGAGTTCATTTCCATTGCCGGCATTGCCAGATGCTGTGTCATCCATTCCCTCATTCATTATCCAAGTCCTGCGCCTCAAGGAGTACTCAAGCCACTCGTTTCCTTTCTTTTTACCTTTTTTTAAAAAGCTTTATTGTGGAAATTTCAAACATAAAAGTAGAGAGACTGGTGTAGTGAACCCACAGATGTCCATCACCCACCATCAATAGTTATCAGCATCCTGCTATTCTTGTTTCATCTATATTCCCACCACTTTTTTTTTTTGCTAAAGTATTTAAAGCAAATTCAACAAATCATATCATTTGCCCATAAATAGTTCAGTGTGTATCTCTAAGTAAACATTTTTTCAAAGCTTAATGTATTTCTTGCTTTTATTCTAAGCATGTTCTACTTTTCTTATGCTGTCTACATGACAATTTAGCCATTATAATTGTAAGTACTGCTGCCATGTTCTTTAAAGTGTCTACTAGTCCTCCTTCATGCTCTACTTGGGGTTCTTTTTTCCCCCTCTCCCTATATATTGAAATGTGTAATTGCATTAAAATACACCTAACATAAACTGTACCATCTTAACTATTCTTAAAGTATAAAGTTCAACAATGTTACATACATTCACATTGTCATGCGCACAATCTCCAGAATTCTTTTCATTTGCAAAACTGAAATTCTTCCCTCCCCCAGCTATCCTGCTTTTAACTCTATGACTTTGGATATTCTAGATAGCTCATATTAATGGCACCAATGATTTGGAAGATGAGTACAGTCATTGTCTTTTTTTAAAATATGTTTTTATTGTTTTTAGAGAGAGAGGAAGGGAGAGGGATAGAGAGATAGAAACATCAATGATAGAGAAACATGATCGGTGGCCTCCTACATGCTCCCCCTCCCCCACTGAGGATCCAGCCTAGCATGTGCCCCTACCAACCTGGAATCGAACCAGTGATCTGGTTCATGAGTCAGTGCTCAGCCACGGAGCCACACCCCAGCCAGGCTTTGTCTTTTTGTTACTACCTTAATGCAGGTGTCGGTTTCCTTTGTTTTTTAAGGCTGAACAATATTCCATTATGTGCAGAAACCACATTTTGTTTATCCATTTATTCAGTGGGCACATGGGTTGCTTCCACCTTTTCGCTGCTGTGAGTAATGCTGCTAAGAACATGCAGGTACAAATAAATTTTTGAGACTCTGCTTTCAATTTTGGGGGGTCATTTACCCAGAATAGGAATTGCTGGATCATAAGGTAATTCTATTTTTAATGTTGAGGCACTGCCATACTGTTTTCTACAGCAGATGTACTGTTTTACATTCCTGCCAGCAGTGCACAAGGGTTCTAATTTCTCCACAGCCTTGCCAATGCTGGGTTATTTCCTGTTTTTTTGGATAGCAGCCATCTTAATGGGTGTGGAGTAGAATAAGTAATTTTTAGCTAGACTTTATTTTTTAGAGCAGTTTGATAAACACTTTTTTAAAGTGTTATACTTTTATTATTACAATTAAAAAAATAATTATTTCCTTCACATCATCTAACAAAGAAGGGATTTCTAACCTGCTCTTCCCATCGTTTTCGTCATGTCTCTACTCTTCCATTTTCTCAGATCAGAAGCTGTGGAGCCAACACTGATTCTTCTTCTCTCACCCCATATCGAATTCATTAGAAAAGCCCAACATCTATCTAGGATCCCCTCACACACACTTCTCACCCTTCTGGCCATGGCCACCACCCTGGCCCAAACTATCACCTTCTCTCCTGGCTTAGTTCACTAACCGTCCAAGAGATAAGATTGCTATTTCAGTAACCTCCCTGCTTGTCCAACCTTGTCCCTGTTTAATATATTCTTACCTCAGCCACCAGCATCATCCTTTTAAGACAAATCTAAGATGTGACACTCCTCTGCTCAAAGCCTGAGGTTCCTCCCCATTTCATGCTCAATAAAAGTTAAAGTCCTTACAATGGCCTTGAGGCCCTATGTAAACGGAGCCCACCCACGTTACACCTATGTACCTACCTGAGCTCTCATCTCTTTCCCTTCGTTCATTCTCCTTTAGCCATTGTGCCATCACTTGGTATTCCTTGAACACACTGCCATGCTCCCAGCTCAGGGCCTTTGCACTTCCTGTTCCCCTTGTCAAGAATGCTCTTTCCTCTGAAAGCTGTTTGACTCGCTTACTCCTTTGGCACATCAGCATCACAGGGAGGCCATCTCTGAACACCTTTTTAAAAATAGGAATCAACCTTTTCCCCAAGAATTCTCTGTTCCCTTCCCCAGCTTCACTCTACCCCATAAACTTTATCATTATCTAACATATTATATATTCACTTGTTTATTTTCTGCCCTGTAATTAAATAATAAGCTTCAGATAGAATTCTTGGCACATACGGCTCAATAAATACTTATTGAGTCAATTCAGTTTCTACATCTATGCATATTGTTGTGGTTGTCCCCAGATCTGCATAGCAACCTGAAAAGCAAAATGAGACAATCTGCATCTTTCCAAAGCAAGAAGACTCATGTAAATTGGACAGATGATGAAAAAAGAATCTACAGGGATAAAAGAATGGCTCAAACTGAAGAAATATTGCAATATTTCATGCCTGTCATGGAAAGCACAACAAATGTGAGAACCAATCAGATAAAACAGATATTCAAACCTCGTACCAACTTCCAAATCCAACATCAATTGTAAGTCAATACAATTTTGTCATTACTAACTATTTAATACATTCTTTTTTAAGGAAACAAAACTAATTAATTCATTATCCTAAGAAAGAAACATGGGTGGGCAAAGGCGGGGAAAAAGGAGACACCCGCAATTATGTTAACATTAAAAATTTTTATTAAAAAATAAATGAATAAATAAAGATGAAATTAGAATAGTGGCAGCTATACCACATTGGACACGGACAAAGATCCAAAGCCATATGAAAATATTGGCTATGTGAAGAAGTAAGTTAGCTGGCCTTATTTGATTGTTTATTCGCATGAAAACACTCATTAATTCAAATCTGTGACTAAAGTATGCATTAATAAAGTATGACCAGCCCTGACTGGTTTGGCTCAGTGGATAGAGCATCGGCCTGCGGACTGAAAGGTCCCAGGTTCGATTCCTGTCAAGGGCATGTACCTTGGTTGTGGGCAAATCTCCAGTAGGAGGCGTGCAGGAGGCAGCTGATTGATGTTTCTAACTCTCTATCCCTCTCCCTTCCTCTCTGTAAAAAATCAATAAAATATAAAAAATAAATAAATAAAGTATGACCATAGACTGACTTGAAGTTTCTCAGATGGGTTTAAACTTAATAATCCTAGGGGGCAACTCAAGTTACTTCAGCTTATTGATACTCAGAGAAATACTCAGATTTCTTTTAAAGATAAAAAAATAGGACCAACACTAAGGCCAAAAGGAAACCTATATAAATAAAAGTAAGACAATGACAAGCTGAAAATAAGAAACATAATACTAATATTATCAACAAATTTTGAAAAACTGCTTTCTATGTGCTAGACACAGTTCTGTGTTTACACATACATTTTACCTTCTACACATGAGGAAACTGAGGCACAAAGCAGTTACTTGTTCAAGGTCACACAGCGAGTAGGGAGCAGAATTGGAGTCAACCCAACCAGACATTCTGAGTCCTGAGTCTTTTATCACAATGCTTTGACATTTCTTCTTATAAGTGAAAAACAGAGGACCAATATACTTCATATTCAAAGCTAGCCTACAAATCAATGACAAAATTATGAATATTTCAATAGGAAAATGGGCAATTTCTATGAACCAGAAATTCACCAAGAAAAAAAAAGGACGTGGCCAATGAACATTTTTAATTGTTTAATTTCACTTAAATCCAAAGAAGGCAAATTAAAACAATAATGACATGCTGTTCATTTTTGCCTCTCATTGGAAGAATTCTTTCACTAATTGTTGGAATGTAAACTTACAGAGTTCCTTGAAGACAGTCCAACAATATAAATGAAAAATCCTTAATATTTATATTCATTTTAATAAGAAATTTTACTTTAGAAATTGATCCTAAAGACAAAAAAAAAAAAAAACTAGGTAAAGGCAACAGGATTTCTGTAGTGATGTTCATTTCAGTATTGTTTATAAGAACTAAAGAAAAAAGAAACAATTTTGAAAAATAATAATAAACTAGAAAGCACCAGTCTATCTGATTTCAACACCCTGTGGTATATAGCTACTGCAATCAAGAGAGTATAGTATGGAGGAGGAACAGACATACACTGAGTGGCCAGATTATTATGACTACCCCATAAGTACAATGAAGTGAATTAGTTATGCAAATAATAATAATAAAACCTTCAGAGTATTTGCTTAGGAAGTTTTCAGTATTCAGTATTCAGGAAGTGTCAATGAAGTACTGATGGGGTGGTCATAATAATCTGGCCAATCATAGTAATCTGGCCACTCAGTGTATATATCAATGGAACCAAACAGAGGGCCTAGAAATAGACCCATACAAATGCTTGATGAATTTTAACAAAAGTGCAAAAGCAATTCGATGAAGGAGAGATAGAATTTTCAACCAATGTTGCTAGAACAATTAGATATTCATAGGCAAAAAAAAAGAAAGAAATTTGACCTAAATTCATTTCTTATACAAAAAGTAATAATAATAATTGAAAATGGATCATGGATTTAACTGCACAACATAAATCTATAAAACTTTTGGAAAAAAATAGGAACTCTTTATACAAATTGGGCAAAAAGTTATACTTTACACCCAAAAGCATAATCCATAAAGAAAAGTAGATGTTAGACTTCATCAAAATAACAGTGTTTGCCCTTCAAAAGACACAGTTAAAAAGATAAAAACCTATAAAATAGGAGGAAATATTTGCAAACCGCTTAAAAAAGAGACTGGTATCTAGCCCGGCCAGCACGGCTCAGTGATTGAGTGGCGACCTATGTACCAGGAGGTCACAGTTCAATTCGAGGTCAGGGCACATACCCAGGTTGAGGGCTCAATCCCAAGTATGGTGTGTGCAGGAGGCAGTCAGTCAATGATTATCATTGATGTTTTTATCTCTCCCTCTCCCTTCTTCTCTGAAATCAATAAAAATATATTTTTTTAAAAAGAGACTGTTATCTAAATTAAAGAAGTCTCAAAATGTAACAGTATAAATATTTCATTCAGAAAATGAGCAAAATGGAAGAGGAATACGTTTTACCAAACAGAACATACAGATGGCACATAACCACACAAAAACATGTTCCACACCATGAACCATTAGGGAAATGCAAATTAAAACCGCAATGAGAGAGCTGCACGCTATCAGAATGGCTAAAATAAAAAAATAGGGGTAGCACTGAATGCTGAGGAGGGCACAAAGAAATTGGGTCACTCAGACATTGCTTGTGGGAATGTAAAGTGGCCCAGCCACTCTGGAAAACAGCTTTACAGTTTCTTTAAAAATACATATGTAACTATAACTACCATATGACCCAGAAATTGCTCTCCTGGGCATTTATCCCAGAGAAATGAAAACTTATATTCACACAAAAACCTGGACACGGATGTTTATAGCAGCTTAATCTGTCAGTAGCCACACACTGGGAGCAATCTGCATGTCCTCCAATGGAGGAATTATTAAGCACTCTGTGGTAATCGAGTCCATTCAGCAAGAATGGCTGATACACAGAACAACCTGGATCAATCTTGAGAGGGTGGTGCTGGGTGAAAACAGCCAGTCCCAGAGGTTACACACGGTAGGATTCTGCTTATATAACCTTCTTGAGATAAAGTTAATACAATTCAGACAACGGGTTAATGACTGCCAGGAGTTAAGGAGGAGCTGGCCAAGGAGGAAAGTGGGTATGTCTATCAAAGGGGAACAGGAGGGAATTGTTCTGGAACTCGACAATGTCAATGGCTACTAGTATATCCTGATTATATTGTACTATTGTTTTGCAAGATACTACATCTGGAGGAAACTGGGGGCAGGGTACATGGGACCTCTCTGTTTTATTTCTTCCAACTGTAGATGAGTCTGCAATCATCTCAAAACGTTTTCTGGTTTCTTGTTTCGTTTTTTTATTGATTTCAGAGAGGAAGGGAGAGGGAGAAAGAGATAGAAACATCAATGATGAGAGAGAATCATTGATCAGCTACTTTCTGCACGCCCCACACTGGGGATTGAGCCTACAACCCAGGCATGTGTCCTGACCGAAATCAAACAGTGACCTCCTGCTTCATAGGTCGACGCTCAACCACTGAGCCGTGCCAGCTGGGCTCAAAATTAATGTTTTAACTAAAACAATAGTTGAGATTTTTGTGGTAAAAAATGGGATTCTAAAGAAAGCTGAGGTACTTTAAGCAACTGCAACTTGTAATATATAAAACCTCCCTCTCTCAAGGAAAACTCCTTTTTCTTGGATGTACAGTGATCTTTTTACTGACCATAGAAAAAACTTAGAGTATGTATACTGAGCTCATTCTAATAGAATAAACAGATTTGATTTGTGGAAATTTAGAGGACATTTCCTTCCACTAGATGTATAAGGAGCTGAGGCCCAGAGTGCCCATTAATATACCAGGAAGCCTAGGGTCCGGGCAAGTCTCCAAATAAACCTAGCCTCTGGGCATTTAGAAATGCAGAATTGGAGGCATGCTGAAAAATCATGACCAGGGATACAGTGATAAAAGTCTTAAGGGAGGATGAACTCACCAAAGGAGAAAAAATAGACTTATACTATTACAAGTTCCTAGGATACGTGCTGGGCAAAAACTCACGCACTTTATTTCTTTTCTAGAGTAAATCAAGCTACTTATGTAAACTTGGGCGGCGCATCCTGGGCACCATCCAGTCATCTCCCTTTTATAGGTCAAAGGAACCTCCTGGCAAGCTCTTCAGGATGGCTCCAGTCTGTGCCCCAGAAGTCGTGTGAAAGCCTGTCACGTCTCAGAGGGCACAAGAAAAGGAAAGCATGTTCTGCAGTCAGTGCCATGAAGACTAAAGACATGAAACCTGTCAGCAGCAAATGGGAGATTCCTTCCTCAGGTTTTGAGAAGTACGTGAATATTACCAAAGGCCAGAGTCCTCACACTGGAGAATTCAACCAGCAAACCTCCATGCGGATAGCCCCCAATCCAACTCAAACTAACGATGAGCAGCCAAATAAGAATGAGGGACAACCCATCTTCCATTTGAAGTTCCAAAGGCAGAAATAATCTAGCTTTATGCTACTCTGAAGACTGTGGGTGAAAGATAACATATGCTTACCTATTAAAAAGAAAAGAGAAAGAGAAGCCCTCTCCATCCCTCTTATCACCATTTCTCTCCCTACACATGCATATGCACATACTAAACTACAAACCCTAGATACTCCATCTTCTGTAGTGAGAACATCTTTAAGAAATATAAAAGGGAATCTGGAGCCCTGGTCAGTGTGGTGCAGTGGCTAGAGCAGTGATGGCGAACCTTTTGAGCTCGGCATGTCAGCATTTTGAAAAACCCTAACTTTGGTGCCGTGTCACATATAGAAATTTTTTAATATTTGCAACCATAGTAAAACAAAGATTTATATTTTTTATATTTTATATATTTAAATGCCATTTAACAAAGAAAAATCAACCAAAATAATGAGTTCACGTGTCACCTCTGACACGCGTGTCATAGGTTCGCCATCACTGGGCTAGAGCATTGTCCCATGCACTGAAGGGTCATGGGTTCGATTCCTAGTCAAGGGCATGTACCTGAGTTGCAGTTACAGGGTGTGTGGGGCAGCAACCAATCGATGTGTCTCACATCGATGTTTCTCTCTCTCTCTCTCTCTCTCTCTCTCTCTCTCTCTCTCTCTCTCCCTCTCTCTCCTTCTCTCCTTCCCTTACTCCCTCCTTTCCATTCCCTAAAAATATGGAAAAAAATATTCTCAGGTGAGGATTAACAAACAAAAGAGAAAACAGCAGATTTTTAAATTTTCTTAGGTATTATACTAGTATTTAATTTTTGTCAAGATGGAAAAAAAAATCTCTGAATTTCTGATTTCTTCCAAAATGATTTATTTATACAACACCAAAAAAACTAAGCACTTAGGAAGGAATGACCTGTACTATCACTGACTTTAATGTCCCTACTAGGCCCTTGAATGAATCAGTCAACAAAAACATTTCCTGAATTTTTGATATATCTGTAGTGTGCTAGAAACAATTGGTGATTTTTTAAAAAGACATTTCTCCCTCCCAGTTGGTGTGGCTCAGTGTCGTGGACCTATGAATCAGGAGGTCATAGTTCAATTCCTGGTCAGGGCACATGTCCAGGTTGTGGGCTCGATCCCCAGTAGGGGGCATGAAGAAGGCAGCCAATCCATGATTCTCTCTCATCATTGATGTTTCTGTCTCACCCTCTCCACTCCTCTCTGAAATCAATAAAAATATATATTTTTTAAAAAGACATTTCTCTCCACTGCAAGATTACTGTATAATTGTACATATAAAACATACATGACTAAAATAATTCAGAATGAGATAGTGCATAGTAAAGTGCTAAGATCTGAACAATTTTAAAAATACTATATTAAAAGATGCTAATTAAAAGGAAATAAAAGGTATACAACCTGGAAAAGGACGAAGTAAAACTGTATTTATTCACAGAGAAGAAGATTGTAAATGTAGAAAATCCCTGCTGGAAGTAATAAGCAATTACGGCAAGGTTGCAAGATACAAAGTTAATATACAAAAGTCAATCATCTTAGATACCAAGCAATGAATATTGAAATTAAAAACAATACCGTTTACCTTAGCACCAAAAAAAGAAATACTTAGATGTTAATCTAATTTACTCAAGATCTATATGAGGAAACACCGTAAAACTCTAATGGAAGAAAAAAAAACCTCAAGAAATGGAAAGTTATCCCATGTACATGCATAGGAAGGCTCAATATTGTCAAGAGGTCAGAACTTCCCAATTAGATCTATAGATGCAGTGAAATCCCAATCAAAATTCTAGCAAGTTAATATTGATTGATTTGATTCTAAAATTTGTGTAGAAAGGCAAAAGATTCAGAATATCCAATGCAATGTTAAAGGGAAGAACCAAGTCAGGACTGACGTCATCCGACTATACAACTTAAAAAAGACGGACTATAAAGTTATAGTAATCAAGGCCGTATGGCCCTGGCCAGTTAGGCTCAGTGGATAGAGCATCGGACTGCGTACTCAAGGGTCCCAGGTTCGATTCTGGTCAAGGGCATGTTCCTTGGTTGCGGGCACATCCCCAGTAGGGAGTGTGCAGGAGGCAGCTGATCGATGTTTCTCTCTCATCAATGTTTCTAACTCTATCCCTCTCCTTCCTCTTTGTAAGAAAATCAAAATATTTAAAAAAACAAACAAACACAATATGGTGTTGGCAACCTTAAATTCTATGTCCAGCAGAAGAAAAAAAAGCAAAGATTGAGGCTACTGTGAAAGGAGGACTGAGTATCTGCTACGACCCCATCTGGCAGCCGTGACCCAGCTTCTGCATTGTCTTTGGCTCCCCACACATGGCAACGGTGATGCCTGGCGCAGCCTGGGGTCTGGCGTTGGCATTGATGCTACTGACAAGGGCAGAAGGGCGTTTATAAGGTGAAATGAAAGACATACACTAACTTATTGGCTGTTATCCTGAGGTCATTAAATTGGTCTCTTATAATTAGGCTTTAAAATAATGATCTGCCGCCACCACCAAAAAAAGTTGTTTCATCTTTACGGCAGAGGGGTGAGCACCCTTTCTACACATAAAAGGAGTCTGCTTCTTAACTCATTTTTCCCCCCAAAACATAAGTCTTTACTATGGTTGAATTCATTATTTTCAGAAACATGTTATAAACTCTTAATTGGCAATTTCTCTTTGAAATAAATTATAAACAAAGGAACAATGATCCCTTTGTTAATAGTTTGGCCATCTTCACTCCTCACCACCAAGCCTGGTAAGAGCCTCTGTTCTCCACATTCATAGGCAGACCATTGACCCAAACCGTGGTCCCCAGACCAGCCTCTGCTGACACCATCCCTTCTCCTGGAGGCTGTGTGGGGGGGGTTGTTCATGGCTGTGGGCCTGGGCCCGAGTCTCCCGGAGAGACACTAGGGGGGTGAGGTGTTTTTTTCAAAGAAACAACAGATGGCAAATCCAACTGGTAGAATGCTACAGTCCCGTCTCGACGGTAACCACTGTTCTGAAGATAGCTGTGTGCTGAGGATGGCAGGGCCACACCCTGGGACAGGAGCCAGGTCTCGAAGCCACGCCCTTGGAGAACGCCGGACTGATCACACTCCACTGGAGAGACATGAAATGGTAAGACAGCGACAGTCCCTCTTGATGTCTCTTATCACTGAGTCCCTATCAGTGAGGTAATAAATACCTTGGTGAGGCCCGTGTCTCTGACTCAGCTTGTCTGCGCTGACCAAGCACAGGCTCCGACAGGACGGGACTCCCTGTAACTTCTGTGAGCAGGACCCGCCCTCAGGGCTCCCGAGGAAAACTCCAGACCAGAGGAGGAGCCTCACCCAGGAGCGGGGCCATGTGAGTCCTCGACTGCAGCCTGACTCACCATTATGGGAGGGACTGGCACTCCTTCCGGCCTCCAGTGTTGTATAGGGGCAGCTGGGGCCTAGAGTAGCCAGAGCTCGTGGACTAGTCTCTGCCTGCAATTGGCCTTTTATGTTGCCCCCAATGCACAGATAATACCACTTCCTGGTGTGCAGCAGGGAACAGCACAGAGGGGGCTGTTTCCTTCAGCCAGGCCTCCCTGGCCCTGCCCACTGATGGCTGGCCTGCGTTGGAAGCCCAGCAGTCCACGGGGTTCCAAGCGGGCAGCATGGTCCTGGGTACTAACAGCCAGTGGCCCAGCGGCCAAGCGCAGTGCCCTTGAAGGCCTTCAACCGTCACAAAGGTACCTGCCCGGCTTGTGCTCTGTGGTGGTAGCCGGCCACTGGATGTTAGCCGGCCAGCATGGCTTTAAGGAGGAATAAAGAACTAGCCAAATGCTTTTCTGCCCAGGTTGAAGAATATGGCTACGTTGGTGAAAGATTAACGAGTTTACACAGCCTATAACGCCCTCAAGTCACCTGTCATAAAGGCCATCGTGGCTCATCGTCAAGGACAGACATCAGTCAAAGGTGGGTCGAAATCCCAATCCCACTGACTAATGCCGAAGGCACCTCTGAAAGAAAAGCGGAACTTTAGAGGGAAATAATGGATGGTTTGGATGAAAACACTCATCTATGGGGGATCCCAAGTCTGCTTTCCCAAGCAGATGGGGGATAGGAAGTGTGGGATCTGAATGGGGCAGGGGAGATTCTTAAAAGGTAATACACACGAATGAAACAGGCAGTAATGATGAAGGAGCCCCTGAAATCTCTGGCGGAAGCCCTGCTGCAGGCATCGGTTTACCCGCTCGCTAGAGAAGAGCAGGCAGGGGTGGCAGTTACGTCTGAGGCCACAGCGGTCAGGGTCACCTGCAGGTTCAGGTCAGATTTCCAAGCACCAGCCCTGAAAATCCACACCCCCGGTGGGACATCTGTGTTTTCTCTCTTTAAAAGTAATTTAGATTTCCCTCAACTGCTGTTACTTAATTGTATTCTTTGTTTGCTCTTATTGATGTTTGATAGAGTTTTAATTCCTAAGAGTGTTTTTAAATATAGATGATTTTAATCTAATTGCGATGCATTATTTCTGTTTCATCAGGCACCCTAGAATTAGATGACATAGTATTGTGTTTTTACTATTATTTTTAACCACCATTGACATTTCATAAAACCTGAAATTGAAAGGAGATATTTGAAGCAAAAAAAAGACCTTTAATATATATATATATATATATTATTAGAAATCTATAAAAGTAGCTTAATCTTTACCTCAATAAACTTTACCTCAATTTATCTCAATAAAGACATCCCTGGTTGAATCTGTCAGCATTTTTCTTAGTTAAATTAGAAATTCATAGATTAATGTAAGGGACTGGAAATTTACAACCATTGTTTCTTATTTTATAATTTTATGAAGTTTGTCGTTTTAGATCTGTTCATGATATCCTTTGCTTTGCAAGTCTTTTGATGTTATGCAGTTAAAACTTTTCCCTGTGAAAAATAATAAAGGGGCAGAGGTCAATTCCAGGAAGGCAGCTTGAGGCACTGTCCACCCACTGCCCAGCGAGAATACCATAGCTGGGTAAAAAAAAAAAAATTGTCCTAAGGACATACAACATATGAAGAAACATTCATTCAAGAAAATCTACTAAATCAGTGAGAGCAGAGAGAGTCTATAGCATGTGGCCAAGGACACAGGGATCACAAGCCCCCATCCATCCTTCCCCAGTCAAGGGCTGCAGTGTCTCCCCGGGAGGGGCAGCTGCTAGCAATTCTCAGCCCCTACGCTGCGCTGCAGAGGCTAAATGCCAGGCAAACACAGCCAAGAAGCCAGGGCCTCCCTCCCTCCTTCCACCCAGCCCCAAGGCAAGGGCTCTTCCCAGAGTCATTGCCACGGGCACTGGCCCTGGTCTTTGTCCCAGCGTGGTCACAGGGTGGCGGTTCCATGGAGGGAGAGGCAGCTGGAAGGCCAGAGGCTCAGCATCAGGCTCCACAAGCAGAAGTGTCGCTGGGAGGAGCAGCTCACTTTCTCCGCCCGCAGCTGCACACCAGGCTCAGGTATTTGCCCAGGAGGAGAGGCAAATACCAAGGAGGCTCCAAAAACAGAGCCCCCTGGGTAAACGGCCTTGTTTGGAACAGAGTGGAGAGGTTTATAGCTGATAGTGTTGTCAAAAGCAGTGGAGATTTTGGTTACACAACTCAGAGGAGGCTAACAGCTTGGTAAGAGCAACCGGCTTAACCAGAGGCCAGCTATGTTGCCAGAGGGAACTTGTTAGACAGAAATAGCCCCCCTACGGTTAAAAAATATATTTTTAAAATGTCCAGTTAAAAATGGCAAAGGACACACACTTAATTTGGCTCCTTCTCTAAAATCCACTGAAATAACAATCGCTTTTATTTTTTAAGAAAAAGCTGCAAGGATGAAAATAGGAGGGGAGGCTATTTTGGAAAGTAGAAAGTAAAATGGCTTTAAGCTTCTCACCGAGAACGTGAAAGCTAGATGGAGTGGAACAAAGCTTTCAAAATGATAAGGCAAGCTATTCTAGCCTAAAATTCTATACTCTCATCTAGTTTTGATAAATAGTGTTTAAAGGTAGAAAAGAATAAGCCGAGAAAAGCCTTTGATGCTGGAAATAGGTGGTCCAACAGGACAAGGCAAAGCGGTGAAGTGAGGTTCCAGGTGGCGGCTCTGTGTCAGGTGGCACGGACCCGGCCCAGCCTGGAGCAGGTGGGGAGGCACCGGGCAGCCTTTCTCAGGAAGAGATCAAAAACGATGCATACACATTTCTCAAAAAAGATCTGATGAAGATTTGAAGGTTGGGTTAGTGTAAAGTACATTGAAAACCAAACCAAAAAAAAAGTAAGGTAATTATCTCCAAGGCAGACAGAAAGTTACGCAGGAAAGAAAAAGAACTCATCGTTTTCCACATGGCTCAGCTGCTGCATATAGTATTTACATAGTCACAGTGTTGTAGACACTGAGTATTGATTTACACGAAATTATAACCAGTTTGGAAGCAGGAGGAAAAAAGGACTTATACTTGTGGAACATGGAGTCGGGGAGAAGAATGCTGAATCTTTATCTTCTACAGGTGAGAGTCAGTAGATTACACCTGAAAGGGAAAAATCAAGACGTACCAATAAAAGCATGTTATTTAGAGAATTGAGGTCTCTACCTAAGGAATCAGTTAAAATAGGCGAAAGTACTTATCTCTGAGACAAAAAAAAAAAAAGCAGAGTGTGGGATGGCTGTTTTTCATAATAAACTTCGGAGAATATTTGACTCAAACTAATATGCATTATAACTTTGAATAAATTTTTAAAATATATGTTCCTCTCTCTTCTATATTGTGTCCCTTCACTCACCAGTGATCTGTTTGCAGAGTAATAGTTTATATTAGTACCAAAATGTTAATTCTGCCTCTGGCTTGAAGACATTACCATGAAGGCTAAGATAGATATTTAGAAATGTTGCTTTTAATAATAACAGCTACGGTTACTACGTGCCCAGTCCCGTACTGTGCTCATACATTAGCTCCCATTTCCACAACAGCTGTGCACGTAGTCCTGCTTTCGTTTTCAATGTCCTTTAACCCAGAGAGATTAAATAATTTGCTAATTTCTCACAGAGCTCCCTGATGCCAGGGCCTCTATTCTTGCTTTCTATTGGGTCACATCACCTCTTTCTAGTTTTTGAGCTTAAAAGAACTTCAAAGAGGGGAAAATGTAGCAGATCAAAGAACTCATTTTGGGGGGGAGGGGCAGAGAAACCCTGAAGGATTCAGCACTATTACTAGATAATAACTAAGCTTAACCACACTTGGAATTTCCAAATGGCCATGTGAGCAAAGCAAGCAGTTTTTAAAACTCTGGCTGGGAGTCCCCATGATTTCAAACATGAAAGTCTCGTTCTCTTATTTTAAAAGAGCTGCCCCAGCTGCTCAGCATAGACCTAAACAAGCGGTGAGAATGCTGTGTGTCCAGGGAAGCCAGGCATCACAAGGCTGATTTCTGAGAAGTAGGGGCCCAGATGGCATAACTGCTGCCCAGTGCGTCCGGTGGCTTGGACCTGGCTCAGAAGTCCCTTCTAAATGATTCCTGGTTGTGCTTACCTTGCAGTTTAAATCACTCAGAGATTGGAGAGTGTGTTGGCCCGTGTCTTTCCTGGAATTGTTGTGTGATACAATCAAGACACTTATCTGGTCTTGAAGCCAGTGGGTTGGCCGGCTCCAGTTTGGGTAGAGAGCAGGACAGCACTGTTTACAGCCTTCTTTCCGAGAAGTCAGGGGCCAACAAGAGCCAGTTAAGAAACGAAAGTGAAATCAGCTGGTGACCTCAGCACGAGTGAGCCAAAGTTCAGAGAGCTGTTTACTCTGCGAGGTACCAGTGCAAATGCGGGCAGGTCGCAGCACAGCTCTGCCTGGTCTGCCTGTCCCGCACCTCGTCCCGCTCCGCTCCGGGGGCCTGACACGTCCTGTCCTGGGGCCCGGGGCCTGACACGAGCAAGCCAGCGAGAAAGAACAACCCGCACCTGAGCTCCTGCTCCTCCGGTTTAGGAGCATTTCTGTGGGCTCTGCATCGCCTTTCGGTGAGTACCTGCCCTCCCGGCACCCTCGATTGCCCAGCCTGCCTCTCCGTGCAAGATGAGTTTGTTTTCTTACCCCCGAGACCTTTCACATTCTAGCCGTGGGCATGCGAAAGTATCGGCTGTCGGTGTCTGCGACCTTCCTCCCCCCTGTCTGCTTACCCCGTGCTCTCTGCTCTCCGTCCTCCCTTCAGCATCACCCTGGGTGTCTCTGGCCTAGGACATGGTGAGGGCAATGCCAGTAGCACTGGGTAGAAACTCGGGGATGACCGCGGGCAGCAGGGGCTTGCACACAGTCTGCACTAACGCCCGTGGCTGGGGAGGTGGATTGTTCCTAGATCCTAAACATACATGCTGTGGATTAAGCTTGTCAGCCTGTGTTCCTGACTCAGAAAGGATATCATAGGGTCTAAGAGATTTTCAGTGCCTGTGTGATTGGATGCCATGGCTTCTCATTCCTTGATGGAAATGCATGTGGGGTTTTAGATCTGTTGGCGCACATCCTCAAAGGTTTTTGTTTTTTAATTTGGGCTCTTTCTCTAATAACTTTCATTATCTTCTTCACCTGTAAGATGAAAAAATTATTTGAAAAAGGAAGAAAAATGCATGCATATGTGTGACCCCTTCTTTCCTTCCAAGTACATTTTTTAGTATTTGTCCCCTGTGCCCCCTCCCTCCTGAAGTCCTGGGCCTCTGAGTCAGTTCACTTGATGGTCTCGGCTCACTCAGCAAGTGTTCCCTCTTCTCACCGTTCTTTCCAGCTTCCTCCCTGATCTGAATACTGAGTTAGCTGCTTGTTTTATTGCTTCACTTTTTTATAAATATAACATAGTTCTGGAAATAACTTTAATGCAAAAAGAACAACTGCCTATAATGCCACTATCTAGATATATCTGGTTTTTCTAAAGGTTGCATAGAGTTTCATCATCTTGATATGTCATTTCATCAAGTTTCATCATCTTGATATGTCATTTTTAATTCTGATGTTGGGCTTCCACATTGCTTTCCATATTTTGTCCAAATAATACTCTGATGAGCATTCCTGGATCGGAATCATTGATTGCATTTGTGATTGCTGCCTTAAGATAGACTTGTAAGTGGAATTACTTGGCCAAAAGATGTGACTGTTTTTAGGATTTTTAATGCATATTGCCAAATTGCTTCCAGAAAGTTTGTAAGAATTTCACCTCCACAGTCATTGTATGAGAATGCCGTTTTACTGCATCTTGGGATCAAGTGTTTTTATTGGCTGTTTTGATGAAGTACATAGGTTGTTTTCCTGGGCATATCTTTGACGACATGGCCTAAGGTATAAACCTTTTTATGTTAGTTAATGTGATACAGTGATTTCTAATAAATACATATTTGTTCTTTGTCCCCATTCCTGGCTCAGAGCTCCTAAAAACTTTTGGGATTTCTTAAGTGATCATAAGATAAAAGTGTCTTATTTATCCATAGCAAGCCCTTTAAACCACATCAGGGGGTAACTTCTGGAAAGTCCCAAGTTGCAGGAGAAAGCAAGCATGTGATTAGAGGGCTGGAGCTTTCAGCCCCACCCTGACCTCAGGGAGGTGAGCGGCTGGAGACTGAGTCTCACCAAGGGCGATGATCTGATCAGTCCTGCCTGTGTAATGAAACCTTCACCATCCCTGCAGCACTGGTTGGAGAGGTGCTGGGAGAGTGGTCTGCTACCTCCACCCCCCTGCTCACCCCCCGCCCCCATACCTTCCCTAGGTGTCTCTTCCACTGGCTGGTCCTGAGTTGTATCCTTTTATAATAAACCAGTAACCTAGTAACCTCCCAATTATAACCAGTCAGTCAGAAGCACAGGGTGACGATCTAGACCTGAGGTTAGCATCTGAAGTGGAGGGTGGTCCTTGTGGAAGCAAGCCCTTAACTGTGGGATCTGAGGCCATCTCCAGGTAGATGGTGTCAGAATTAAGTTAAATTGTAGGGCATCCAGAGAACTGCTTGGTGGAGGAACCCCTCCCCCCTCCACCCCCCCACCCCCACCACACACACACTTGGTGGAGAGGACGGAGAAGTTAACAGTGCTCTACTGTTTTGCATTCCTTCTTTTGTCAAATATCTCAAATACCCCTTCATATTTCTTGTCTACTTTTAGGGCAGGGGTCCTCAAACTTTTTAAACAGGAGTCCAGTTCAGTTCACTGTCCCTCAGACCATTGGAGGGCTGGACTATAGTTTAAAAAAAAACTATGAACAAATTCCTATGCACACAGCGGCGGCAAAAACACCCGGCGGGCCGGATAAATGTTTTCGGCGGACCGCATGTGGCCCGCGGGCCGTAGTTTGAGGACCCCTGTTTTAGGGGGTTAATGTTTCCTTGTATCTGTTCGCATGAACATTTTATATATTAGGTATACTAATCATTTCATTTTTTGTTGCAGATAGTTTTCATGCACATTTACCTGTTTCGTTTGTTTGTTAATCCTCACCAGAGGATATTTTTCCCACTGATTTTTAGAGAGCTTGGAAGGGAGGGAGAAAGAGAGAGAAGGGGAGAAAGGTAGAGAAACATGGATGTGAGAGAGACACATTGATTGGTGCCTCCTGAAGGTGCCCCAACGGGGACCGGGGATCCAACCCAAAACCCAGGCATGTGCCCTTGACCAGGAATCCAACCTGAGACCCTTCAGTGTGGGAGCCGACACTCTAACCACGGGCACCAGCCAGGGCGTGCTCATTGACTTTTTAAAATTTATGTTGTTTTGTTGTGTATTTTAAATAGTTAAATCTGCACAATTTTTCTTTGTGGTTTCAATTTGCTTTTAAGCTCAGAGCACTCTTATAAATCAAATATATACATGCTTCTATGTTTCTGTTCACTACATTTTACTATTGGATCCACGTGCAATTTATTTGGGTACTCGGAGTGAATGACATGAGGACGTAAAATAGTTTTGTTTTCAGTTAACAACTGGCTTCCGCAGTAATAAGAAACCCGTTCTTCCACTAAATTACAGTGCCGTTTCCATCCTGTGTCACGTCGTATGCATAACTTTTCAGAGGCAGTCCCCCCTCCGGAGCTGCCCGTCGGGACCTGCCATGGCGTTTTATTCGGCCCAACTTCCCCTCCAGTTGTTCTAGAAATCTACCTGGGAACCGGAGACAGGGATTGCTTCTGCGACTAGCCTGCCGCAGGCCTCCCAGTGATATAGCTTAAAGTTAATTAATAAACATGACGAATATTTTGGAAGCTGAGTCTTCAGATCCACGGAGAGTATGTTCTCATTCGCACCTGAGATCCTGCCGAGCCTGCACCTCGGCTCGCACTGCCTCAGCTCTCTCAGACCTGCCTGTGAATGATGAAACTAAAGCAGTTTAGTAACCAGCGTGCTCATTCCTTTAGTCAAAGCAAAACAGTCCATTTATTACAAAAGGATACAACTCAGGACCAGCGGCTGGAAGAGATGCCTAGGGAAAGTATGGGGGTGGGGGGGTACCACGCCACCCTCCCAGCACCTCCACGTTCACCAACCCAGCACCCCACAGCAGTGGGGCCTCCTCCTGCGGGATGCTGGCAAGAGCGAGTTGTATGGAGTTAGAGGAGGCCACGGAGACCGGCAGGGCTGGTTGGGGGGGAATCTCCTCATCGAGCTAGAGGACCGAGCCAGTGCTGAGGTGCAGGACTGTGGCTGGTGCCTGTTAGGTCTCTGTGACAGGTGTTCCCCCTAAGTGTTGACCTAGATTTGGATTTTGACAGGCCCAGCCTCCGTTGTGTGGGTCCCGATAGATGAATTAACTTTATCAGCCCACACCTAGGCCTCAGGAGACTTTGGGAGGTGACCCCCAGATCCCAGCGCTTTTGTCCATTTGGCAGCAGGAGGGAGGGGCGTTCTAACAGCGAGGTCCTGGCCAGAGAAGAAGGAACGGCCGTCCCTGCCCATCCTCGGGCATCCCTTCCTCCGGGAAGCAGAGCCGCAGTGAGCGGGGAAAAGCCACTTTCTGAGGTTCCCAAATGCTGGCCTGAGGGGTGCAGGGTGGCCCCTTAGCACCTGCTCTCTCTGAGCTATTCTGCACTTGTTCAGAAGCCATTTCACGTGCATCTGAAGCTCACAGGAAAGAGCAACATCCTCTTGTGTGGGATGGAGGTGAAGTTCATGAAAACCTTAGCCTCCCTTCCTGCCTCCTCTCAAATATCTTTGCAAAAATTAAGGTCAAGGTCTACGTTGACTATTCTTTGCCTTTGTCTCTACTTTTCTTTGACTGTTAGTTACAAAGTGCATGGACAGGCCTTGGTCTTCCCAGCAAGGCTGGTGGCAGCAGGGTCCTGAGTAACCACCGGCATTGCTCCTCGCCTCCCGCCTCAGCGTCTGTCTTGCTTCTTCCCTTTTCACCTGTGCCTGCGTTTTCAGCCCCACCCCCTGGGGGCCTATGAGTCAGAGGACACAATCCAAACCGTCCACCTTGGCCTACAAGGCCCTTGGGGATCTGGGCCCCACTCACCTGTCCAGTATCTTCTGGTCCCTTCTTCTTAGTTGGGCTGCAGCCCCCCGGTCTGCAGTCTGTTCTCTCCCAACAGCACGTTCATCACAATTGCTCTCTCCTCCCAGGAGGCTCTTCCCTTGGCCCAAGAATGGCCTTTCATACCCCCAGGCCTTCCCTGACCCCTGATCTAGACTCGCCACTTCCTCCTGCCAGTGTCTCCACTTCATCCTGTTTATGACTTCCCAAAGTTTTTCAGAAGTTATAATAATTATTATTTTTTAAATATGTGTTTGAGCCCAACTGGCTTGGCTCAGCGGTTGAGCGCTGACCTGTGAACCAGGAAGTCACAGTTCAATTCCCAGTCAGGGCACATGCCCGGGTTGTGGCCTCGATTCTCAGTGGGGAGCGTGCAGGAGGCAGCCAATCAATGATTCTCTCTCGTCATTGATGTTTCTGTCTCCCTTTCCCCTCCTGTCTGAAATTAAATGTGTGTGTGTGTGTGTGTGTGTGTGTGTGTGTGTGTGTTAATATGCGTTTGGTATTTTTCACCCC